TGGTTTTGTTTTGTTTTTATCTTTAAACTGTGGAGGGGAGGAAAGAAATCTCAGTGGGTTGCTTGCTTTTCTTTCTATTTCTTTTCTTTTCACTTTTTCTTCTTTCTATAGAGATGGGCTGTATTTGAGTGAGGAGAAACAGGAAGAAAAGGTTTTATACTTTCCCAAAGGGGATGTAGGGTGTTAACGTCTTTAAAAATATGTAGATGTCTTTATTTTTCACATCATGTACTTGGGGTAAAATTCAAAAAGTAGAAAAGAGTATCCAGTGAAAAGAAAGTCTCCTGTTGTCTCCCAGCCACCAGCACCCTTCCTTGCAGACAATCTCTGGTCCAGTTTCTGGTGTATCTTTCTAGATGTATTTAATATATATTTTAAAATATATTTTATATATTTATGTATTAATATATGTATTTCCAACTGATAGCAATTCTATTCTGCACCTTGTTTTTCTTATATGTTTGTTTCTAGTTAATACATCTTGTTGCATATTAAAACCTAAGGGACCATACCTTTTTAAAGGCTGCATTGTATTTTGTTGTATGGGTATATCAAAAGTTACTTTTTAAAATTTTTTTTTTAGAAATTTATATATTTATTTATTTTTTTGTGGCTGCGTTGGGGCTTCGTTGCTGCGCGCGGGCTTTCTCCAGTTGAGGCGAGCGGGGGCTACTCTTCGTTGCGGTGCGCGGGCTTCTCATTGTGGTGGCTTCTCTCGTTGTGGAACACAGGCTCTAGGTGCACGGGCTTCAGTAGTTGTGGCTCGCGGGCTTCAGTAGTTGTGGCTCACAGGCTCTAGAGCGCAGGCTCAGTAGTTGTGGTGCCCAGACTTAGTTGCTCCATGGCACGTGGGATCTTTCTGGACCAGGGCTCGAACCCGTGTCCCTTGCATTGGCAGGTGGATCCTTAACCATGTGCCACCAGGGAAGTCCCAAAAGTTATTATTTATTTAACCATTCCCCAAGAATTCCAAGACAGAATGGTTTAGATACATTTAGATACATTTTAAACAATACTGCAATGGATATTCTTGTAAGTGCTTTATATGTCACGTTTGTAACTGTATCTGTTCTAAAAATTCATAGACGTATAACTTCTGGGTCAAAGAGTACATATGCACTTTTACTTTTGATAAATATCATCAAAGTGCCCCTCCCACAGTTGTTGTGCCAGTTTACAGTCCCACCAGCGGTGCATGCGATGGCCTGTTTCCTCAAACCCTTGCTAAACAGAATATTATCCAACATTCTGAACTTTGCCAATCTGATAGGGAAAATGGTATCTTCATAATCTTACCTTGTATCTCTCCTGCTCTGAATGAGGTTGAGTATCTTTTCATATGTTTAAGAGCCTTTTTTTTTTTCTTTTACTGTGGAAAGAATTTCCTGTTATTTGCCCATTTTTCTGTTGAATTTTTGGCCTCCTGCGTATTCTTTTGTGTATTAGCGTAATTCATCTGTTGTCTGTGATATATGTAGCAAATATTTTTGTCCAGGTTGGGATTTTATTTGACACTGTGGGGATTTATTTTTGCTAGGCAGAACTTTAAAAATTTATGTGTTGTTAAATTTAATGAAATTTATAAATCTTTTTATTTTTGCCTTCTGGGGTTTGTCATACTTTAGTTTCTGTTTTATTGCAAGTTGAAAACTGGACAGAAAAAGCATTGGATTGAGAATCAGATCTGCTTTTAGCCGCCAAATCCCTTCCCTCCTTTAACCTCAGTTTTGCCTTCTTTCTGTAAACTGAAGGGGTTGGACTTCATTCATTTATTTGTTCATCTTTTCATGCATTCATTCATCAGCACTGAGCTGGATACTGGGAACACAGAGATAAATGGTGTGGTCCACGTTCTCGTGGTACAATGGGGAGAGAGACAAGTGACCCAACAGGGACCTGCAGTGTGCTGGGAGTGGAAGTGGAAGACCTCAGTGTATATTGAGGGGTCATCTGATGCGGGCCTGGAAGGAGATGTAGGTCAGGAGGTGAAACAAGGGATTTCATGGGAGGGAGTCTTGGAGAATGAGGAGTTAGTTATTCTGGTAAAAATAACTGGTGGGGTGAGGTGGGGTGGTGGCAGAGGGAAGAGCATTTGACAAGGAGGGGAGGGGACCTGTGATGGCCTGGGGCACTGGAGGGAGGGCGTCGGGAGTGCTGGGGAGTCAGAGTGCGGCTGCGTCTAGACCACAAAGGCCTCTCCAGGCAGGCGCCCAGGCTGCCGTGGACCCTGAGGGCACAGATGGCCAGAGAAGCCTCCTCAACATGATCAGATTTGCCCTTTGTTGAGGATGGGACAATCGTTTCATTTGAGTGTTGTGAAATATTTTCCATGGCATTTTTTATAAAGAATACTACAAGGAATACTTTTGAATATCACCTAGTTTAAGAAATAAAGGGCTTCCCTGGTGGCGCAGTGGTTGAGAGTCCGCCTGCCGATGCAGGGGACACGGGTTCGTGCCCCGGTCCGGGAGGATCCCACATGCCACGGAGCGGCCGGGCCCGTGAGCCATGGCCGCTGAGCCTGCGCGTCTGGAGCCTGTGCTCCGCAACGGGAGAGGCCACAGCAGTGAGAGGCCCGCGTACCACAAAAAAAAAAAAGAAAAAGAAAGAAAGAAACATCATCACTGTAGTTGAAAAGCCCCATGGACCCCTCCCCAAATCTCATCTCTCTACCTCCCCTAAATGTTGGCAAGAACATGCTTCTGGTGGACATGTAAAATGACACAGTTGTATCTTAATGATAATTAAGATAATAATTGCATCCAAAAAGAAATGATAATAATGGGATATAATGTAGGTGTTAGCTAATGCTGGGGAAGTAATCATACTGCAATACATAATATAAGTGTATCATATCAACACTTTGTTCACCTTAAACTTACACAATATTACATGTCAGTTATATCTCAATTTTTAAAAAATGGCACAGTTGCTTAAGAGAACAATTTAACCACACTCAGTGAAGTTGCAGATGCATATACCCATATCATCCAATATCTACCCTAAGTGGTGGAATTACCTGCACAGGTAAGCACAAGGAGATGTGTATAAGAAAGTCCATAGTAGTAGTGGTTGTAATAGTGATGGTAACCTCACTTTCCATCAGCAGAAATGTGAACTAATCCATAGTGACTTATGTATACCTAGAGTACTGCTGTGAAAATATGAGACCTAGAACCACATGTCTCAACAGGGATAAATCTCAAAAATACAGCGTTGAGTGGGAAAAAAAAGTTCCAGAATACATGCAGCATGTCAACATTTATATGAGGTTAGTAGATAGGCACAGCAGTGCTGCATTCTGTTGGAGACATATAGTCATGTAGTAAACACACAAAGGCATGCATGGGGGTAATAAACACCAGACCCCCAGAGTGGCTGCCTCTGGGGCATAGGCAGGGAGAATAGGATCAGAGAGTCCATGAGAGCTTCAGCTGAGTTGATATTTTCTTTCCTAAGTGGAGTGGTGGGCCCATGCCTGTTCCTCATGTTATTCTGGTTCTAAAAATGTTAATAATTTATTTAGCCCAGAATATCCCCAAATTATCATCTCAACGTGAAATCAATCTAAACATATTAAACAAAATGAATGTCTTACATTCCTTTTTTCAAGCATTCCTTTTTCAAAATACAGTTTGCATCTGTTGTCCCGCCTGCAGAGCTCCTGCCCACCTCCTTCTGGGACCTGCCTTCCTTTCTCATCACCGCAGGTGCGCGGAGGTGCACATCACTGCAAGCCAGCCTGCAGCCTTCTCCCAGGGGACGGTGGCTGGGTGGACCAAGGCTCATGAACCTGGGGTCCTTTCCAGGCCACCACAATGGAGGCCTATTATTTCTCCCCCCAAGGGGTAGTGGTTAAGAGCATACCTCATTAGTGGGATGGTCTCCTGAGGGGCTTACCTTGGGCAAATTTCTTACCGTCTCTAAGTTTTCTCTGGGGTAGAATGGGGATAATAGTACCTACCCTCATGGAGTTGTTGTGAGGAGTAAATGAGCTAGCTAATGTATATGAAGAGATTAGAGCCTGGTAAGAGTGAGAGCCCGGGGAATGTGGGTGATGCTGACCATGATGACGACAGTGACAAAGGGTGATGACGATGATACGTATTTCAGTTGTCCTAAGGTCTGAGAACACTTGGTTTTGTCCCTGCTTTTTTCCCCACACCCTGAGTCACTTAAACAGTAGACCTCATTCAAAATAAAACAAAACAAAATAAACCTATACACTTTCAAAAAAAATTAATTAATTAATTTATTTGGCTGCGTCAGGTCTTCGTTGCTGTGCATGGGCTTTTCTCTAGTTGCGGCGAGTGTCGTTGTGGTGTGTGGGCTTCTCATTGTGGTGGCTTCTCTTGTCTCGGAGCACGGGCTCTAGGCAAGCGGGCTCAGTAGTTGTGGCTCGCGGGGTTAGTTGCTCCGCGGCATGTGGGATCTTCCCGAGCCAGGGTTCGAACCTGTGTCCCCTGCATTGGCAGGTGGATTCTTAACCACTGTGCCACCAGGGAAGTCCCAAACCTATCCTCTTTTAAAGAAAGAAATGGGGAAAAAATCCTTAAGTTGATGGGGGAACACTGTAGGGATATTCTCTAGGAATATTTTAAAATGTTTTCCAAACTGCTAATCATGACTTGTTCATGGGTAACGATATCAATTCAGTAGGTTGTTTCCAGCATGTTTTTAATAAAACAAAAGAGAAAAAGAATTGTTAAACAGAAAGGAAAATATCATAGTGCCTGGTAAGTATTAAAAGTAAATAATGTTTTATGAAACATCTGTTTCGCTGTTACGGATATATATTTGTCTAAACGTGCATATTGGGTGGCCATGTAAATGCATTTCTTATTGTCGGTCGTTGTCAAAAAAGTTTGAAAAACAATAATTAAGACACAACCGTGGGGTTCCTGAAGGATCCCATTTCATTCCTGAGTTTATTTCTTCCTCATTTCCAAGTGTAGTCGAATATATATGTGAAGCATGGCCTCCTCTCTCCCTCCCTGCAGAGTTGGCTTCCCAAGGCCACCTGGACCTCACGGAGCTCATCGGCGTCCCGCTGCCCTCGTCCGTGTCCTTTGTCACTGGCTATGGTGGCTTCCCGGCCTACAGTTTCGGGCCTGGTGCCAACGTCGGCCGCCCGGCCAGGACCCTCATCCCACCCACCTTCTTCAGGGACTTTGCCATCAGCGTGATGGCGAAGCCCAGCAGTGCCCGAGGGGGCGTGCTCTTTGCTCTCACAGATGCCTTCCAGAAGGTCATCTACCTGGGCCTGCGGCTCTCAGGAGTGGAGGACGGCAGCCAGCGGGTCATCCTCTACTATACGGAGCCCGGCTCCAAGGTGTCCCACGAGGCTGCCGCCTTCCCGGTGCCCGTGATGACCCATAGGTGGAACCGCTTTGCCATGGTTGTCCAGGGCGAGGAAGTGACCCTCCTTGTGAACTGCGAGGAACACAGCCACGTCCCCTTCCCGAGGTCCTCCCGGGCCTTGGCCTTCGAGCCCGGCGCGGGAATCTTCGTCGGCAACGCAGGAGCCACGGGGCTGGAGAGATTCACTGTGAGTCCGAGTCCTGCAGATCAGGGGGGCCGCTGGACACCGTGCAACAAACACAAGCAACTATTCTTATTATCTTATTCTTATGTCCTCAAAGAGGCATGTATGCTGGTGGGAAGAAAGTTAGGCCCAGAACACAAAACCTAGATTCCAGCGCTGAGTTTTCAGTGTAGCTTGATGATTTTAGACAGTATCTGGATTCTCTGATCTGCTCTGTGTTTTCTTATCTATAAGTAGGGATAAGAAAACCTAGGCCATAGGGTTGTGGAGTCACGTAAGCTAGCCTGTGTGAAAGCACTTTGTATGTTTTAAGGCATTATAGAAAGGGTAAGGTTTGTTATATCCTTCAGTGATTTTATCTTTGGAAAAGGGTGGCAGTTGCATGTAATTTCTACAAAGGTGGAATAGCTGGGATGCCAGAGTGTGAGGTAGTTTCTCTCTCTCCTTTTGGATGTGACTTGAAAAAAATACCGGAAAACTGATTTTGCTGTCAAAATGTTTTTTTTGTTTTTTGCGGTACGCGGGCCTCTCACTGTTGTGGCCTCTCCCGTTGAAGAGCACAGGCTCAGCGGCCATGGCTCACGGGCCCAGCCGCTCCGTGGCATGTGGGATCTTCCCGGACCGGGGCACGAACCCATGTCCCCTGCATTGGCAGGCGGACTCTCAACCACTGCGCCACCAGGGAAGCCCAAAATGTTTTTTCTGAATAAGCCATTCTAAAGCAGATCCCTAAGTTACTGTAGTTATTCATTTAGTCAGCACTATTCTTACTGATACCTTCCCAACTGATTCAGGACAGGCCTGTGGCCTGGGGTTTGGGTTTATCTGTAGTACAGTGGAAGATGGATTTTAAGAAGTTAAAATCCGATGAATAATTTTGAAACGCTCGCTTGGGAATAGTCATGGAGAACGGGCTGTCAGGTGTGGAGAGGGGAGGCGGAGTGGAAGCAGGGAGGTTGGTGGACACCTACTCTGGGGACAGGTCCTTCCAGCTGGGAAGCATTGAGCCATGGGGGAGAGATACTTTCTGGTGGGGGAGGCGTGCATTTTAGGGCTCGTTGTTGACAAGCTGGGGACCTGGGGACCAGTTAGGAGGCTGCTGTTAGTCTGCGCTTTGAACACCATGCTCTCCAAGGACCTCTCTAGTTAGTGGGGCTCATATTACATTGGCCCAAGGAGAGTCCCCCTGAATGAGAACAGGCCTGGAGGTGGCTTGGTTTCCTTGTCACGGCTATGGGCGGCACTTCTCACACCTGTCCTTTCACGGCTTCTTCTCTGTTACAAAAAAGTCATGTTTCCCGTGGCTGCTTGTGCTGTAGACGTGGCCTCTGACCCCTCTGCTTTTCCCTAGGGGTCTATACAGCAGCTCATCATCCACCGTGACCCCAGGACTCCCGAGGAGCTGTGTGAAGCTGAAGAATCCTCGGTGAGCCCCTACCTGCCCCCCGGCAGCCAGAGAAGCTGGCGCCCAGGCAATTTTTCATTCCCAACGTCATGGAGTCTCTGAAATCTCTCATCTTGGCAAGAACTGCGTCAAGTCCTGTTTTGGGCTTTTTGGCTTTATTATTATTTTTAAGAACTTCAGCCATGTCTTTGGTGTGTGTGGGGGAGGAGTTGCGTTTCTTCTAAGGTGTTAGGTTCTTCCGTGGCCGTGCCAGTCAATGGCGTGGTTTCCAGACTTCCTGACAAGAAAGGGTGTCAGGATTCTAAAATCAAAGTAAAAACTCTAAGACATTCTGGGTGTAAATTCTTATAAAAACAAAACTAAATTTAGCTTTTATGCTTGGCAAATGAATCAGTTCCTCAGCTGGGGGGCAGTGGTGGTGGGCAGGGGACAAAAGATGGGTCCTTTCCCCCCTCCTTCCCTCCCTCCCTCCCGCCAGAATTGACTGAGCACCTGCAAGGTGACAGACCTGGGGAGATGCTGGAGATAAAGGGATAAACTGGGAACTGTCTCTGTCCTCCAGATGCTCACACATGCCCAAATTGGCAGTGACAGACCTGAGTGTGCGTGGCCCTCAGACCCCAATTCTAGAGGTCAGGTCGGGACAAGAATGTGGGGGAGGAGCAGTGGGAAGCCAGTCGGGCAGGAGCTGATGCCTGACCCGTGACAGGCAAGTGTCATCCAGATGAGGAAGAAGAGGTGTTCCCAGCAGAAGCCATGGCGACGATGCAGGAAAGGCAGAGATGGGCAGAGCGTGGCGTATTCCTAGAGCTTCTGCCCCTCTTTGGGTGGTGTCAACCCCAAAGCGAAAATAAGCTGATTTTATTCATTTTGTAAAAACTGCTGCCAGTGTAGTTGGAAAGCCCCTCCAAGGTGGAACTTGGATCTGTGAGAATGTTTGCTCTCCTTGAGGCTGTGATCCCAGCCTGGTGTTCCCGTGACGCTGAAAGAAGGGAAGCTTTGTGTGTATTTATTCCTTCATCTCCGTGTTGCTATTGAACAAACAGAAACAACCCAAGGGTCCACAAATAAGTTACAAAATCATGGCATACGGGTGTCTTGGCTGCCATTAGGGGGCTAACCGTGAAGACTAGGTAGCAAAGGGAGGATGTATTTCAAATGTAACGACTCCCAGTGAGGAATTCTGGCGACAGTCGTGCAAAGAGGGAGTGCCTTTTGATCGAGATTGAAGGGCACCTGGACAAAATGCAGGTAGGTATGTTAGACTACACTGATTGTAGTTTTTTGTTTGAGCAATAAAACATGGAAGGAAACAAAAAGAATAGCCAAGATGTATGCTGTCTTCTCCATCCCACTCCCTCTGTCTCCATCCATCTCCATCTCTCTCTTTCTCTTTTACACAAGCACCGTTCCTCCACAGGAGTTCATTTCTGTGACTCCACAGTTGTAAACTGCCCCCCTCTGCCCAGCATGATTTGTCTCCACACAGGCGTCAGGAGAGACCAGCGGGCTTCAGGAGACAGACAGAGTAGCTGAGATCTTGGAAGCCGTCACCTACACTCAAGCCCCGGTGAGTACTGGGTGCTGTGCCATGTCCTCTTAGTCGGCTTTTGGGGGGCTGGGCGATATCAGAGAGTACCCAGAGTCCCGGTCTGACGTCTCTGTTCTCAGAACTGTGACTTCATTAGACAGTTCACCTGGGGAGGTCAGGAAAACACTGGCCAATGGGCATTTTGCAAAATCCCAACTGCAGGGGAACACCATTACCTGGGTGCCATCCTGTGCTGTGGCCATGAGAGGGCTGTCCAAAGGTGAACTTTGTGCTCTATCACCTCCCAGCTGTGTGAGCTTAGGTGACTTACTCAGCCTCTCTGAGCCTCAGCCCCTCTCCCATAAAACAATAATCAGCGTGCTATCTCGTGAGGTCCTTGTGAGGTTAGATGAGGCCATGCAGGGGCAGGTCTCGGCCCAGTGCCTGGCACAAGGGAGGTGGCCCTGAACGGTGGCTGTTGTCACATTTGCTCAGGGCTCTGGCTGTGAGAAGGAAGTTGGGACCCCCACTCCTATGAGATGCAGAGTCCTCCCAGGAGCTCGTTTCTGGCCCCATGGGAAAGGAAGCCATCCTCCCAGTGGTGTGGGCCTCCTCCCTCCTGGGAATGTGCCCCGTGGCCAAGACAAGGAAGTGGTTTTGAAAGCACTGAATCAGACTGTGGAGACACCAAGGAGCCTGTTGTAATGAAAACAGCCGGCACTGTCTGAGTCACTGAGCACAGAAGCCCCAGCCATCTCCTCGACTGGGCTGGCTCAGTCTACAGACTCATCTCTGATAGAAGAAAGCAGGGAGCTAGAAATAAGATGGGGGCTCTAAATTATAGACCTCCAGTGACAGAGGGGTGGGTGGTGCAGAACAGGACCAGAGTCTGTTAGTGTGGGAGGGACTTAAAGGTCACCTCTTTTTGTTCAGATGTGTACAGAAAACTGCCCTTTGTGCAAATGAACAAACTGAGGCCCAGAGAGGGAAGGAGACTGGCCCTAGGGTGTGTGGCCGAGCTGAGGCTAGAGCACAGGGCCCCTCATGCCCCATCAAGGGTTCAGGCCGTGACCCTGTGCTGCTGGCCTGGGCGGTGTTGCAGGGGTGCATCTTCAGGACCACAGCCGGTTTGGGGGTAGCTGAGGTGGAGAAAGTCAAGGGTCCAAGGTGCCTGCCTAGGTGGTGACTGGTGGGTGGCTTCTCTGGGCAGTGTTGCAATCCTGTGTGTGCCCATCAGCCCTTGGCCACCCCACTGGCATGTCCAGGGCATAGGGCAGCAGGGCACAGAGCCGTGGTCCCCTGGGCTTTCTAGCCTGACGCTGCCCCCCGCCCCCCAGGGTACCAGTTCACAGCTAGGAGTGAGGCTGACTTGAGCAGAGAAGCTAATAACCCGAGGTGGCCTTGAGGGACGGACAGGAAAGGGGAGTGGGGCTTAGGAGCATGGGATGTCATGGAGGCGGGTGCTGGTCAGGGAGGGCTGTGACCTTCTTTGCAGGGTGGTGTTTTCCATTCATTCCCCAGAGGAGGCACTGAGGTACACGCAAGTGAAGTACTTTGCCCCGGGGCTGCCCAGCCTGGAGGTGGCAGAGCCAGGTCTCCAGCCTGGGCCCAGGCCGCTATCAGTCATGTCACCCCCAGCTAGGGACTTCTCCCTTTCACCCTCTCCTGGAAGGCTCCCCTCCCTGGCCACCCGCCTCGCCCCGCCCCCTCCAGGGCGGGGGAATTACCGTCCTCGGCTCAGATGTTCCCCTCCCCTCTCTGTCTGGCTTCTCTCTTGGAATGAATCTCACTTCCCTGTCCTCAGCCTTTCCAGCCCTGCTGCCCTCCAGGACACAAGCCATGACTAGCAAACTGAATCATGGACTGCCTGAGCACTCAGGGCCTTAAAAAGCCAGGCCCTCCTGGCCTCCTTCCCCATTTAGGGTAGGAGTCCCTGCTCCCCAATTCTTCCCCCTGCTAAGTCAGCATCTGCTGACACACCTTTCCATTTCTGGAAAGTTCTATCTTTGCCGAGTTAGAATTAATACCTTATGGTTCTCAGCCCTGGCTGTGCATCAAAGCCCTGAGCGTGTGTGTGTGTTTATGTGTCCATATGTGTCTGTGTGTGTATGTATGTGTGCTTGTATGTGTTGTGCGTATATGTGCGTGTAGGGGTGTGTGTGCTGGGGGAGGGTCTTAAAAAAAGCCTCTTGCCTGGGCTGCATACCTGGACATTCAGATTCAGTAGGTCTGGAGTAAGATCTGATGGTCCGTACTTACACAAAGCTCTGCAGGTGATTCTGCGCCACAGCCAGGACCTCTCTTCCGCCCACACCCAAATGCTCACAGATTCCCAACACACCACACCCTTTCACTCCTCGTCTGTGCCTTGGCTCCTGCAGGTTCTGTTTGCCCGGAGGGCCCTTGCCCACCCCTGTCTCTGCCTGGCCAATTCCCACTCCTTCAGGATCCAGTCCATAGCCCATCATTGGAGGCCACGGCCACGCTGCCCTCCTCACGCGTGACTCTCACTCCGGCAATCCCAAGTGTCACATTCATCACAGTTAGTTGGGTCTGGGTCTGCATCTCCCCTGTAGTCCAGCAGTTTAAGGACAGATGCCCTTCTTATTTACTCACTTCTGTATACTGGGGATCAGCCAAGACATGGCACACAGTAGGGCCTCAGGAAATATGTGTTGAATGTGGGCCAGCAAATTACCACATTTTTTTTTTTGCGGTACGCGGGCCTCTCACTGTTGTGGCCTCTCCCGTTGCGGAGCACAGGCTCTGGACGCGCAGGCTCAGCGGCCATGGCTTACGGGCCCAGCCGCTCCGCGGCATGGGCTCTTCCCGGACCGGGGCACGAACCCGTGTCCCCTGCATCGGCAAGTGGACTCTCAACCCCTGCGCCACCAGGGAAGCCCAAATTACCACATTTTAATTAAAAACTCTTAAGGCTTGACATTCCCGTTTTGTCACGGGCCACACTGGTTCTCCATCCACACTAACGCCTGAAAACCAGCAGCAACCTGTTGGCAACAGGACACCTGACCCTGACTGCCGAGGGTCAGCTCACCAGCTCTGCCCTGAACCCAGGCTTCATGGCTGCCTTGTTGGGATTTTGCCAGAAGAGGTTTTTAGCTGAGAGGCTGGAGTTGGTGATTTCATATAACTCAAACTTTGCCACCTTGAGTTACTGAGCTCAGCCCATCCTTACCTGACTGTCCTGTGTTTCCCGTACGCTCACCTGCCCTACCTGCCTCATCTCAAATCCCAAGACCTTTATAAAGCCACTTGGCTTCCAGCCACCAGCAGTCTTGCTCCAGGCTAGGGAACCATGGTAAAGTGGCTTCCCCCAACCCTTGGCCGGGAGAGGAGAGGAACCTGCCTGGGGCAGGCGTCCTTACCGCCTTGCTAGATCACCATGGAACTGGGGAGTGGGGAATGGGGAGTTCTAACTTGGTCTTCTTCCCAGCCTCTCCTTGGTTGGGGGGTGGTGACTGCTGGCTGCTCCCACTGTACCCCCTGGTTCCTGCCTCACTGGGCTTCTTTAGTGCACCCTCCTGGTCTCCTGGCCTAAACTTCAACACCCCAAATCCATGCTCTCATGGACACCAGGGTGAACTCCCTAAAGTACACACCTGCCCACATCTCCCCCATCCTGATACCCAAAGGGATACAGTTTGTTGCCTCTGGTTTAAGGCCAGACTTCTCACCTAAGAACCAGCCCCCTCCCTCTCTCTGCCTCCCCAGGCTTTATCCCCCTGCTTCCATCCTCGAACCCTGGCCAAGCACAGGTTGTCAGGCCCTGGCAGTGCTGTGTCCTTTCTCACCTCAGTGCCTCCTTCCATCCCTGTTCTCTGAAACTGTTCATTCTTCAAGGCTCAACTTCTAGAAGCCTTCCATCTCTGCCCTCACCCTGGAGATTTTAAGGTACAGTAGACTGTATCTTTTTTTTAGTACACAAGTATTCCGTATTCATTATGGAAAAAACTACAAGTACAGTTGAGCAAAATGATAATCACCTTTAATATTAACACCCAGAGAAATCACAGCTAGGGATGTTGATGATAGCTACCATTTATGGGCTCATACTATGGGCCTGGCCCTGTGCCAAGCACCTCCATGCATTTTAAAACTTTTAAGTAGTTATTATTGGCCCCATTTTACAGAGGAGGAAGCTGAGGCTCAGTGAGGTTATATGAGTTGCTCAATATAATATAGCTAATAAGTGGAGAGCTGGGATTTGACTCGAGTTTGGTCATAAGAACTGAACCATTAAATCCTAAGTTATGGGGCGCATAAGAATCTTTGTTCTGATGGACCAGAGAGTCATCATTTATATACTATGTTCTGACATTAAGGAAATAACCTTCTGTTATTAGTCAGGATAGGTAAGTGATAGGTGTAGTAAGAAATTTACCCTGAAGTCTTAGTGTCTTGGTTGTTTCTTGTTCATACCACAGGTCCCACACTGGTCGGTAGGATCCTTCCATTCACCCTAGCCCCTTGAGCTCAGAAAGTGATGAGACTATCGAGCTGCTCCCCGATCCTGGGTCTGGGGATGACCTTTGCTGCCCTTTATCAGGATTTCTGCCTAGCTCTCTGAACTGCTCTGTTTCCAACTGTTGGGGTTTTTGGTTTGTATGCTTTTTCCTAGTTGGTTAAGGTGGTGAAGACATTGACTGGCTTTGGAAAAGTTACACAGAAGCTGAAGTTTCCTAGAAAGGAAACCATACCCATCTTTTTTTTCATAGGTACACAGGACCAGTGTACCTCTGGGATTGGATTTATACAGCTTTTATTGAGCACAGCCCCCTCCCTCCCTCCCTCCCTCCCTCCCCCTCCTCGCCCCCTCCCT